GATAAATATCAAGGCGCATAGGTGCTGAATTGTATATATTTTCAGTTGTACAAAGCTGCCTAACTGTCTTCCAAAGTGACACCACTGTGCCTCCCCACCAGCAATGAATGTGAGTTCCTGTTGCTCCACTTTCTCAGCAGCATTTGATGATGTCAGTGCTCTGGGTATTGGCCATTGTGACAAGTGTGTGGTAGTGTCTCACTTGAATGTACATTTCCCTCCAACACATGAGGTGGAGCATCTTTCTTTTTTTTTTTTCTTTTAATTATTTATTTATTTATACAGAACTGGGGTATAGGCCAGAGATGCGGAGGCTTCACCAGAGACAGAGTGGGGAGCAGAACAGGCAGATCGATGAAGTACACTGCTGAGGGGAGCAGCGGGTGGGTCAGGAGAGGTCTGCCGCGCCATGTGGTCACCTCCAGGGCAGGCGGGACTCGAACTCATGCGGAAGAGGCTTTAGCTTCTTTCTAGTGCTGTGCTTTAACCCGCTGCGCCACCAGGGAGGGCCGCCAGAGCATCTTTCTTATACCCATTGTCCATTGGTATATCTTCATGCTGAGGCATCTTTAATCAATCAAAAATAATGGTGGCTTAGGAAGACCAAGTCACTGGAGATACTGGTTTGGCAAACTTAATGCTTGGCTGTTGAATGAAGTCTCTCAGGAAACTGCTACCTAATCCTTTTATGTGAAGTCTAGTTTGTGTCTACTTTTAAGATTCTCCTTTATCTTTTGGCATTCTATATAGTTTTGCTGCAATGTATAAATAATATAGATTTATTTTTATTTGGCCTTAGCAGGATTTTGCTATGCTACGCCAGTCTGATGATCTGGCCTCTCAGCAATCCTCTAAAATTATCAGCTATTATCTCGTTGCATAGTGACCCTTTCTACTCCCCTTTTCTACTCGTGATAAATGTTAGACCCTCTTAACCTTTGTCTTATTTTTCATTGCTTCACCTCCTAATTGCATGCTGCCTAACCTGTCCAGATGTCTTTACTAATTAACCTTGTTTTCAGCTGTACCTAAAGTGTCATCTTACTCATAAATTGAGTTGTTTTTTTCTTTTTTTCCATCTCAATTGTAATCCCCGCGGGTTTCCCATCACCAAGTCACCCGTGTGCCATCACCATAGTCCCGTGCACTTCCCTCCCCACCCCACCCCCGTTTTTGATCCCATTCCCCACTCCACCCTCACAAAATAATAAATTGAGTCTTTAATATCAGCAACTCTATTTTTCTCTCAGGGTTCCCAGCATAGAGTGTGTTCTACAATTCACAGCTACATCCAGAGTCAGGCTGCCTGGTTCAAATTCCTGCTCTCACCCTGGCTATCTGTGAAACCATATTGCTTCCCTCTTCTTCTCTGCCACAGAGGCTACATAGCATAGACATCCAGCAGCCTCAGAGTGAGGATTAACAGGATCAAAGCACATATGGGGGTTGGAGCAGCGCAGGTCATAGCAGGTGGTGTGCGTTCACTGCTGGTGTCAGGTTGCCTTTCTTTTCATTCTGTAGTTTTTTGAGTGTTGTTTTACACTCACAATTTAGATACTTATTTTTTAAATTACCAATTATCTGAAGTTCTTGAAAGACTATTCCTATTTTCTGTTGACTTTTGCTCATTAGAGATTGGGAAGCCTTACTGCTGTTTTGAAATGTGGGCTTTTAAGTGTCTCTTCTTTAGCTTCATCAGTAGAATCATTTGTGGCGCATGTGGACTTCGGTGCCTCTGGCTAACTAGTTTGCCGGTGTCTCTCAGAGCCTAGAACCTGCAGCATTTTGTTACCATCTTGACCTGGAGTAGGGCAGATTCTAGGCATTGCAGTGGTTAGAGGTCAGGTCGAAGAGGAACAGAAGTGGCCAGAGAGATTGAAAATAGAAAACCAAAGTTTAACAACACAAGGTGAGGGAATATTGCATGGCTCAGGGCCACCTTGAGGCAGGGGAAGTCACATGCTACTCGAGATAGAATCAGGTGAGGTCGAAGATATTTCCACTAGATGTGACCATGTGGAAGTCTGTGATGACTTTGATTTAAACATAATGGTATAAGCAGAAGCCTTAATGAAATGATGCAGCCAGATGAAGATGAAATGGGCTTCTTTGTGGTATTGCATTAGAGGTCATAGCCAGTACTGTAAAGTAAATAAAAATAAAAAGTGTAAGGCCTATGAAGGCAAACTAAAACTAACTGTATTTGCAGGTAATAAGATTGTGCTTTTATAAAATCCTAAGGCGTTTAAATAAAATTCCACCAAGAACATCAAATACCTAGAAATAAAATTAGCATAAGACATCGCCACTGAAAACTATACATAAGCACTGCTGAGAAGTTAAAGATAAAAACAAGTGCGCAGCATGTGCGTGAATGGGAAGGTTAAATATTAAGACATCGTTTCCTCAAAATTTATTGATACGTGTCATAGCAACTCCAATCTAAATCCCAGTGGGGTTTGTTATAAAAAAAATCAAGCTGATTCTAAATTTTTGTTTCAATGTGCAAGCTTAAGAATAGCCAAGATAACTTTAGAGAAGAACAAGCTGATTCCAGAATTAATGTGGATACATAAAGGACCTAAAATAGCCAAGACAGTTTTGAAGACGAGGACTCGCAAGCCCGGCTTCGAGACTTCCTTGCGTTTCTGTGGGGACAGGCCTGAAGGGGATTTGGAGTCGTGTGGGTTTGGAGAGGGAGGCTACGGCCTGGGTGTGGGCTGCCGGCTGGCAACAGGCAGCAGCCGCCGGGGTCCCTGCAGCTTCTCCTGCCTGCTGGGCCTACGCGTGAACGCCGATCTCTGGTGAAGGACCCCGGCGTCCCCGCAGCCAGGGGCAACGACAACGGCCACGGGCGGCGTCTGTGTGTGTTGCTTGTGCTTCCAGCCTGTTGCTCCCTTCCCCTTTGTCCTCCCCTCCCTGAGCCTCTCACGGCTGCAGCTCGCGCAGGACAGCAGCGCTAGAGCGTCCCAGCTCGCCACTGTTGCAGGCAGCAGGCCCCTGTGACTGCACGCCTGAGGGTCTGTGCTCAGATGCGCACGCGGCACCACGCTCATGCCACCACCGCCCTCTGGTGGAACCCTGCGCGATGTACTGCCCACCGGAGGCGGCCGTCGTGCCACCGGCCACCGCACGGTACAGCTGCAGACGTCCGAGTCCCGCCCTCGGGATTCGCCACAGCACACCCGAAGAGCGCAGGGGGAATTAAAAGTTCCACTGAGGGCACGTGCATCTGGAGAGCTGTGAACCTACACCCTGAATCACATGCAGTGGCAAAAATCATCACCGTGATAAAAAGTAATTCAAAAAAAGCCACCTTTGGGTGATGGAGTGTCATTCCGTGCCCAGCGAGGACAGGAACAAAACCAATGACAGCTCTGGCGGGAGTGCTCCCCCGGCAGGAGACAGGACAGTGGGGCTGCAGGGGACAGCCGGAAAACCAGACCAGGGAGCGGCCGGTGGATCCCGGGCAGAAGGACGTTCCTGACTTCTGGGAGCGAGGGCCGTCCCGCAGGTCACCGAGATTCACACGAGTCAGCTGGGCTTCCGCGGGACACTCGAGCCGCCCGTCCGCACCACCCACAGCCGCGGGCAGCTGGGCAGTGCGTGGCCCACACGCCAGCCCGCGGGGTCAGTGATCCAGAGAGTGCTCTGACAGTGAAGTGACAAAAGGCCACAGGGTGTCGATGGACCTTCCGGTCAGCTGGTGGCTTCAGCGCATGGCTGGGGGAGCCTCAGGCCCCAGAGGCCTGGGAGCCTGTCAGAGGCCAGTTCCGGAGGAGGAGCGGGGAGGCAGGAATAGGCCTTCAGGACCCAGATGTGGGAGAAAATCCGGCTAGTGCGGGAAGAGCAGGTTCAGCCCCTGCAGGAATCCCCTCTGGCCGCTGGCTCCTGGCGTCAGACGGAGGGAGTCGCCAAGAAAACGACGGTCTGGGAAGGGGGGATCCCCGGGAAGATGACGCCCAGCCACACGCGCGCCTTGGTTTTGCCTTTACACCTGTGAGTCTGCCTGCAAGATCACGCCTTCCTCTCACAGGTGAGAGGGTAACAGCAAGCTACCACCTTGGATTTACAGAGAGCCTCTCTCCTGGAGTCCCAGTGCCGCAGCATCACCGCCTCTGGCCTCCTCTGCACTTGGTGTCTGGCCGCCACAGTGCTCATGACAGGCCTGTGGAGAGGAGCTCGCTTGCCCCAGGGCGAAGCAGGTGGCTCTGAGGACTGAGGCGGTGCTCTGCACTCTTAGAATGGTTATGGGGGGTGGAGGTGCTAGCTGCCTCCCTGAGTGAGTCCTTTCCCTTTTATACAATGCGGGGTGCAGTCTGTCAAGACGACACCCCGGAGGCTGTGGGTTCTCTGGGCCCAGCCGGCCGAGGTGACACCCACAGCTGTCCACGCAGAGCCTGGTGCCCTTGGAGCTCTCAGCTTGGGACTGAAAGGAAAAGTCAGCCCTGACGGCGCCAGGCAAAGAAGTGCTATGTGCCACCCCATCACTGCTGTATGAGCTGTTGGCACGGTTTTCTCTTAAATGCTACTTTAAAAAAATATTTTTTGTGCATACAAGAATTGGGGTACAGGCCAGAGGTGGGTTGTGGGGGGCGAGAGGATTCACCAGCTAGAGTGGGGAGCAGAACAAGCAGATTGACTGAAACACTGCTGTGGGGAGCAGCAGGCCAGACTGGAGAGTCTGCTGTGCCCTGTGGGCCAGCGGGGGATGGTGCTGAAGCTGCAGCTAGCGTCACTGTGCTGTGCTTTAACCAGTCGAGCCACCAGGGAGGGCCCAGAAAGAGGAATGACTTTCATAGCTGCCCGCAGGAAAATGCAGATGCGGGTGAAGCCACCCAAATTAGCAATTAGAACTTGAGGATTATAGCACAGGAGATTTAAACTCCCTCACTGAGGGCCCCCCCCCGCCTGCTGGGGCAGGATGGGCGTGGCCGCAGCTGTGGACTCTGTCCCTGCCAGATGCCTCACTGAGTCCTGTCTCTGTCCCTCTTCTGCAGCGCAAATCTGTCCAAGGCCGCCTGGGGAGCCTTAGAGAAAAACGGTGCCCAGCTGATGATCCGCTCCTACGAGCTGGGGGTGCTTTTCCTGCCGTCGGCCTTCGTAAGTTCTCGCTTGACACAGGTCCTGAGAGAGGAACTGGGGGGTGGGGGTGTCTCTTTCATCAGGGTGCCATTCTTGGGGTGAGGGCAGGGACCGGGCTTGGGGGGATCCTGCTCTCGAAGATGGACAAAGCTGCTCGGACCATAGTGAGTGAGTTTTTAGCATAGTGAAACGTGACATGAAGATTTATCATGCGATGTCACCAAAAGAATGGCCTGGCCAAGCAAGGTCACAGGAAGGCTTGTGGGGAGTCAAAGGACGCTGAGGACTAAGTACGGAGGGAGGACAGGGAGAGGCAGCCCACGTGGAGGGCCTGAGCTCCCCGCGTCGAGTCAAGGGGAAGCTCGCCACACTGGTGGAGGGAGCTCTGGGGGCCGCCAGGGGTGGGCACCCTCAGACTGGCTGGGGAGACCCCCTGGCACGGGACCGCGGCTCCCAGGTGCCGTGCAGCCGGTGGCTGGTCTCTGGGAGCCACGCCAGCGCCACCCTTGGCCCAGAGAGCCGTGCTCCCTCCACGCCCCGCAGGCCTGGCTCGGCCCCCTCGCCTGTGGCGGGATGCAGTCAGAGCTGCCGCCGCAGCATGACGGCAGGTGCGCTTTTCTTTTTGGCTGCTGCTGTGGTTGAGTCTATGAGACGCGCAAGGGACTTCGGGCCAGAAGCCTGGCTGTGGGCCGTGGGAGTGCCGTGTCTGGGCTGGGTGACCCGAGGCAGCGTCTCCCGCCCCAGTCCTGCCCCTCGACGGCCCCGGGCTCCTTCCTCACCCGGCTCAGGGAAGAGCTCGGCTCGCTCCCGTCGCCAGCCGTTGGGTGCCCCTTTCTTCTGTTGCACTACAGAGCTGCCTGACAGCCTGCGCTGAGGGTGGTATCCACGAATCCGGCGCTTTTTGCTTGCTGCCTGCAGAGTAAACACAGATGCTTGTAGCTAGACACCCTCATAGTCCACCCAGGAGGCAGGTGGACACTCAGCTTCGTGTGGACGTGACTAAAGCCTCCGCAGCCCAGTGGGGTCAGGACTGACCCTGACCAATGTCTGGCTGACCCCTCCTGGCATCTGTGACCAGAGGGGAGTTTCACAGCCCCCGGTGCTGGTGTTCGTTATGGAGTGCGACCCTTACACCCTTGCCCAGGCTGGAGTCACCTTCCGTAACAGCTTCACTATGGCGTCAACTCCACCGTGCTCATGTCCGCTCTTGACAGCATTTGCAAACTTAGCAGCATTCCTAACTGTCCCCACCTGATCCTTCTCCATGCAAATGATGATAAGAACAAAAAGCATTACCCTCCTGTGCCCTCTGGAGCTTTCTTGGCTTCTGGTTTTCGCCTTCCTGACGGCTGCTGTGTCCATTCGAGAAGCCTACGAGAACGGGAGTGCGACCGTTCGGAATCCCCAACTCCACTCTCTGCTTGGCTCTTGCTTCTGTGGCTTTGTCCTCAGAAGCAGCCCCACAATAACACAATGTATGTTAAACAGAGATTCAGGGATATATTTTTTTTTTTTTATTTGTGCATACAGAACTGGGGTACAGGCCAGAGGTGCAGGAGCGGTGAGAGGCTTCACCAGAGACCCAGCGGGGAGCAGAACAGGCCAACTGACTGAAACACACTGCTGAGGGGAGCAGTGGGCGGGACAGGAGAGGTCTGCCGCGCCCTGTGGTTCCGTTCCCTGGCCAAGGATTGAACTCACGCTACAGCGGCTGCTGAGCGCGCCACAGAGCTGCACTGTAACCCGTTGTGTCATCTGGGAGGGCCCATCTGAACCTCCTTTGTGTCAGTTACTAGCAAACACGAGGGTGTCTGTGAAGAATCCCATTGTTGCTTTTTTACATTTCCGTCCTCAGTGCCAGCAAGATTTGCCTTTTAGTGTTTTTCAGTTACCTGTTTGCCAAACAGGTATGTTTCATGCCCGTGTCTGTAGCCATTCTTCTGACTGGACCGCCTCTGGAATCCAGTTTCTGGAGCTCCGCCGGCCTCTGTGCCTCTCTGGCAGACCCCTTATCCAGGACACCTGTGTTTCCGAGATAGCAGCAGCCTCGTGGCCACGCTCGGCCTCCACCAGAGGGCCAGCCCAGCCCTGTGGCCAGCGCAGCCCTGTGTCCCGGACACTGGCGTGAGGCTGGGCTTACTGCTGACTGGTCCCTGCGAGCCAAATAATTGTTCCCATTGTCCTGTCGCTTTCATGGGCGAACTGCATTATTTCGAGAGCTGCCTGACATGTGTATGGTGTGGAGTCAGTACCTTTCCCTCGAATCAGGAACACGGAGACCTGGGAATGTATGTCAGGGTGCCTTAGACTCTGTGTCCTGAGCTCTTAGCTGTTGGTGTTACATAGTAGGTGCTGTGTGTGTGTGTGTGTGTGTGTGTGTGTATGTAAATCAGGGTGGGGCGGGGAGCAGTTCACTTAACGTAGGTTTTTAGCTGTTAGTTTGAACTAAGTCATTTAGGTCCCCAGAAAGCTCAGTGACTTCAAAGGTCAGCCGCAATCCTCTAAACCCTGGTGCACCTGTGAGTGTGGCAGGGCGAGGCCAGTGCTGTCCTTGAGCGCCATGCGCTTTGGTGGTGAGCGTGTGCGTGCCAGGAGGTGCTGCCGTTGAGCCCACCCTGCTTTTGTGCTGTCCCCCCACCCGAATAATGCTCTGGACCACGTGAGCGTTGTGGGTCCGCGCCCAAACTGCCTTCCTCCGGGTGAAGGCCGCTTGAGCTTCCTGTGCTTGTACAGAACAGGTGCACCTGCCCTGGGGCAGGGGTGGGAGCAGGTTCTCTCTTCCCTGACCAGAGCCAAGAATGCTTCAGAAATCCCTGAGGCTTTGAGCCTTGGGGCTCTGCTTTCTCTTACACTGCTCCTCAGACTGTTGCCTTTTTACATTCCAAAATAGCGTGCCCCGGAGAGCTTTCCCTGACTTGGGCAAACAAGTGGGACTTGGAAGAACAAATGAGATGCAGAGGAGCCACCTTCGGTGCCGCACCGTGCCCCCCCCGCCCCCCAGCCCCTCGGAAGGCCTGTCTTGGGCCTGCCCAGCCTCGCCATGGCAGTTCTTGGTTTCCCAGGAGACCAAGCTGGCAATGCTCTCACGAGCGCCATTTCTTTGTGACCCTCTCAGCCAACGGAGCCGCGCCCTCCATCCCATCAGCTCCCTGCTGAGGCCATGGTCTCCCCGGCCTGGGCTGGGTGTCCCCGCACTCCCCATCTGAGTGTACCTGCCCGTCAGGGTCCACACTGCCCTGCCTCTAAGCCTGCAGTGCGCACGCACACACACCCCCGTGGGTTTAACCCTCCTTCAGGGAGCTTTTCCTAAGCTCCTTGCGGGAGCTGTCGGCCACCTCCTTGTCCATGAGTCCATCTCAATTAAGTGTACTCCTAGAAGGTTCGACTACCGTGACAGTTTCACCCAGGGAAAGTTAGTACCTTGTAGAGGGTTTTACAGCAGCTTGTGGCTGCTACTCACTCAGATGCAAGTAAAAAATAAATGACGTCTCTAACAGGAGATTGAGCATGTTTCTGCTTCTCTCTGATGGAGCCGAGGGTAGCGCCTAATCCGTCAGTGATAACCAGCGTCTTCACACCCGAAGATGAGAAGGGAAAAGCCAGTAATTCTCAGCGTGCTGCGTGCCCACCCTCTCACCTGGTGCTTTGTAAATGTATTGTCTTAACTGTCTTCGGCTTCTGTGCCTGGGAGGGTGCCTTCCTCTGTTTTATAAAATGCCAAGCGATACCACTGTGATATATAAATAATGATAATTAGAGACAGCCTCAAATTATTTGACATTCAGATTGAAGGGAAAAGTGGTACTTTTTTTATATACCTAATACCCTAGAATTTGGATCAGCAGTGACATTCGAGGAGAAAGCACACGCTGCCTGGGAGACGGAGGGTCCACACCTCCACGCGGGGTCAGCCAGCACAGACGGAGCCAGAGCACGGCCACCACACCTGAGCCCTGCGCATCACCTTGACCCCGACGCGTTTGAAAGGGACAGATGTCAGCTAGGAGCCTCGGAGAAGGGAGGTCGTGTCTCGGCTTATTTTCTGGGCTTCTGCAGAAGAGGCAGAAGCCTTCATGCAGGTTCAGACAGAACCGCTACAGGAAGGCGGGGGGGGGGGTGCTACAGCAAAGCGAAGACCATGGCATTGATGCAGCCAGGAGAGCCCAGGACAGAGCCTGACGCTCCAGCAGAAAAGGAGGAAGTGACCTTTTACTGGTTGCAGGATAAGGAAGAGCCTGGTAGAAAATCTTTGAGCTGGGCCTTGAAAAATTGCTGTAATTTGGATAAACAGATGGCAAGGAAGCAATATCGGCAAGCCGGGGAAACAGGGCGAGCTGGAGAGGGTGCAGCTCGCGTGCTTGTCGGGTGATGAGTGAACCAGCCAGGAGAAGGTGGCTGGGACGGCACCCTGCCAAGGAACGTCGGAGCCGGCCCGGGCAGGGTTGGGAGTGGGGGGCACCTGTGTAGCCGGGCCCACCCCCGGCCACGTGGTGGGCTGTCACCTAAGTCAGGTTGCGCAGGAGACCACCCTTCTGCAGGGAAAGGGGTGAACCTGGAGCTGCTGAGGGCATCCATCAAATGTCATTGGATGTCGGAAGAGCCAAGTCCCTGGGTTTGGTCCTGCCTGAACGAGACAGTGGACTCAACTTTGTCGCTCTTTATGCCGTATGAGCTGGCGTCTGTCACGTGCACCTAAGGCATCCAAGGGCCCCGTTTAAGTGTGGTCCTCACTGCACTTGAGCTCCAGAAGGCTTCTACCCCTCTAACAGGCAGACGGCGGCAGGCCGGGGCTGGGAGCCGCTAGACCAGCAGACGGCTGAGAGCTGCTGCAACACGCATCTTCACTTAAGGGAGCTGTAAACACATTAGTCCTCTCAGACATTGAAATAGGCACAACGGGCTAACATGCAGCATTGCCAAGTTAGCCACAGCCACTTCAGTGCAAGTTCAATCCCCGGCCCAGAGGTGACCCACGTGGCGCGGCAGACTTCTCCTGACCCGCCTGCTGCTCCTCTCAGCAGTGTACTTTGTCGATCTGCCTGTCCTCCCCCTCACTCTGTCTCTGGTGAATCCTTTTACCGCCCCTGCAACTGTGGCCTGTACCCCAGTTCTGTATGCATACATAAATCTTAAAAAAAAAAGGTAGCTGTGTAATAACTTGGATTTTGTTGTGAGAACCCTAAGAATCTATCACTGCTTCTTAAGATCTTCGGAAAATGGGGTGCAATCATAGATTCCTTCTGTGTGTCCACAGGGCCTGGACAGCTTCAAAGTGAAACAGAAATTCTTCTCAGGGAGCCAGGAGCCAGCAGCCTCCTTTCCAGTGCCGTACGATCTGCCTCCGGAACTGTATGGAAACAAAGGTGCGTGCACCAAGCCCACGCCAGCGTGGCGGGGGGCAGGGGGCTGCTCACGCGTGCCCCAGCAGCACAGGTTTGCCGAAAGAGACCCTCTTGCTGCCCTGTCTGGGGCCCCCTGAGCCACGGTCCTTAAACTGGTTCTTGTCGGGACCCTGCATGCCTCGTTACTGAGTACCACAAGGAGGTTTCTTTATGGATTTTTTAATACCTACTAGTATTTACTATATTAGGAATTCAAACTGAGAAATCTTAAGGTAGGAGTTTACGTGAAAATGACCATGAATCCATTGTCACCCACAACTCCTCCCCCCCACCCCACCTTTGGTGAGGCGGTGGCACTGTTTGCCTTTTTGACAAACCTTTGCTGTCCGGGTTCCTGGGAGCCACATCATGGATCCTATGAGGTCACATGTCACCGATCCTGTGACGTCACATGTCACAGATCCTCTGCACCCTGGTAAGAAAGTAAATTAGTGACAAATACCAGCTCTCTGTTGTGGTAAAATCAGTTTTGACTTCGCAGACCCACAGATGGCCCCAGGCCCTTGAAACTTGGGGTTTGGTTCACTTTTCGTCAGTTGCCTCAATAACGACTTGACAGCAAGAGTAGCTCCGGGTCACTGGTCGTGTGTGGTCCTCCGGTGTCTGCAGTACTGACGCTGTGCTGGGCACACGCTGGTGTTTGTGGGTGGCACCTGCTGCTGGTTTGGCCGCCATTTCCTGTAGGGAGACCCAGAGGGTGCACTTCTGCTGGGAATGTCCCGGAAATGACACCGTGTCCTTGGTGCGTCGTACAATGAGCCCCATGATGTCAGCTTGCCTAACGACTGGAGGAGTGACGGGGCAAGGTGGTGTCTGCCAGGTCGCACGTCATCTCTCGCAGGTGTAACATATTCCACAATTGCTGATTGTTGCGGAGTCGAGCTAGTCGGCTGCTGCGTGGTGGCTCAGTGGGACACGTGTGCGTGACGTGGACATGGCGCGTGGGAGCGTGTGGGAGCCTCTACAGGGCTTTAGCCAGCGCCCCTGCTGTTCCGTTCATTAAAGCGATCCGTGTGTTCAGACACACAGGAAACTCAAGTCTAACCCGGCACGAGTCCAGTCCCAATTCATAAAATAGCTTTCTTAGGCGAATAGAACAATGATTCCAAGGTGCGACCCCAAGAATTAATGCAGAAGAGACAGCCCCTTAAAATCAGTGTTGAAATTTTCATTCTCAGGGACCTGTTTTTGAAAGATCTTTAAAAATGAGGAATTTTTTAAAACCAGGCAGCCAGAAAAGGTTTTTAACCTGATTTCTTTTAACGGAATCTGTGCTGCATAGCATGAACGGAGACTGAAGCTACACTTCAGCTCAGCTTTTAAACTTCCTTTGTAACCTCTTAATGCTGCTCTAGCAGGAGTCGGGGTGCCTCAGTCGTGAGGGTGAAGCAGAGCTGAGGTTGCCCCACAGAGCACTTGACAAAGGCGAGCCAGAGCGAGCGAAGGGCACAGTGATGGTGCCTGGGTGGAAAGGGCGTGGGGGCTTGGTTTGGGCCCTCAAGGGCGGGAGTCAGGCCTCCCGCCCTGCCAAGCCTGGGCCTTTGACACAACAGACAAAACACCCCGTTTGTGGTTCTGTAATAAGCTTGTTAAAGTAACAGAAAGTCTGTGGTTTCTTGCTTTCTAACTATCTCAAGGCCAAAGACAAGAGAACAGGATTTTGATAACTTGTTGCCACCGGGGCCTCCTTGGAAGTCCAGGTTCTGCAGGGGCTTGGTCTGCCTGAGCCCTCAACAGAGCTGCGGGCCGGGGGACCCAAACACGTGGGGGTTGAGGGGGCCCCCCAGAGGGCACTCAGCCAAGCCGCTGTTCGCTGTTCGATCCGATGGCCTGGACTCAGATGGCTTCCAGGGGTTGCTGAGCTCACAGCCCCTGGGTGTTCGCACTCAGGCTTCTCAGGGCCACAGCACGTTTCATTTTAATCCTTGCGGGCATCTTTGCACTCCCCGGCCTCCACCCTAGTGACACAGGGCTAAAGGCGGGTGTCCACGTCTCCCCCACTTTGAAACCTCCGAGGAAGGGAGCGAGTGTACGATCACTGAGCGCCCACAGCATGCCTGGAACCTTCCCGGAGTCCTCCCACGCCGCCTCTGCGTGACCCTGGGAGGCTGCAGCTGTCAATATTGCCATTTCTCAGAGAAGCGGCGGCCAAGCCCGGGCGCCTTCCCAAGAGTGCAGAGGTCAGAGGCACGCGGGCTTCCGAGCTCCTGCCGCAGCCAGCGCCAGGCCCGATGCGCTCGTCGACACTCGTGCGGCTTTGCTCATACACGACCTCGAGGAACAGAAGCTTCACGGACCGACTCGGCGCCCTGGGGGGGCGCAGCTGCCTGTGCCGGGGCCTTGGCCCCGTGTCTGGCGTGCGAGGCGTGGTCCGCAAGGGGTGTCCCTGGGTTCAGAGAGGTCTTCACAGTGCAGGCTCCAGCCATCAGTTTCGTCTGCCAGCAGTGTTTGGGTGTCCGGCTCCGGGGGGCTAATACCTGTGACGTGTCCCCTTCTCCCCAGACCGCCCGTGGATTTGGAACATCCCTTATGTCAAAGCGCCAGACACGCACGGGAACATGTGGGTTCCCTCCTGAGAACCCGAAAGCTCCGGAGATGCATGAGATGTGGAGCCACAACCCCGGGTCCTGTCTGCACTGGTGTGTACCCTGAGCCTGTGTCTGCGTCCCCACTAAACCCTGCAGGGTCCAGCTGCCGGAAGTGGGAGACGGCCGTACTTTCAGAGGCCATCGTTAGCGTTCTCACGTTTTATAAAAAAGATATTTTCTTAATTCATTTTTTATACCTTGGAATGAAAGTATTAAACTGCACAGTGTCAAACAGGTGTGACGGGGCCTTGCTGGGACGCACAGCCGGGTCGGGGGCGGCGGTGGTTTTCCCGGAGGCCTCCCCCAGCCTGCCTCAGTCAGCCCCTGCTGCTGGCTCGCCGGCTCCCCGGGCGGTGGGCATCTTCCCTGCCCACTGATGTCCAGGGACCGCTCATAGGATCACAGATCACACAGGCGCTCGGGGATTCTGCTTGGGAAGATCCTGAAGGTCGGTGCTCGATTCACAGTGGGGGGAGCGGAGGCCCCAGAGTGGGGTGGCACACGGCCCCTCCGCGGGCTGAGGAAGAGGCTCCCAGAGGTGATCCTGCCCGCTGTGTTCCACCTGGACTCACACACTCTCTGAAAACGACTTCAAACCGTTGTTTATTTAGCCAGTTCTTTCTGACTCTGCCTCCTGCTCCCTAGAACACTCCAGCCATCGCTCAGGTGAGTGGCACCCGCAGCGGCAGGAGGGTGCTGGGCACGGGAGGCTCAGCCGAGGGTCGTGCACACTGCGTGGCGCAGGGCTCGACGGTTTCCCCAGCCCAGTGATCCCGTCCTGGGCTCAGCGAGCCCCGTGGTCAGCCGGGGCGGCTGGACCCACAAGCCTGGCGCTCCCGCCCAGCCGGTTGGGACATCTGCGGCAGGCCAGCAGCTGTGGGGCCACACAGGCCCGTTGTCCTTCAGAACTGCAAAGTGGGCTGGAGCCAGGCCACCAGGGTTGGGATCCCAGCTCCACCAGCTCCTGGCTGGGTGACCCAGCCCGAGTTGCTTGGCTTGTCTGTACTGCAGTTTCCTCAGCTATGAAATGGGGGTGATGTTGAGTGGTCCCCACCGCAGAGGGTTACTGAGGATGTCGGTGAGGGTTGAGGGCGAGGGCGTCCTGCAGTGAGACCAACACAGCTCCCACAGACACCCTCAGAGGTGATGGATTGGAGTCATCCTCATTTTCCTAATAAGGAAGTCTGGGCCAATAAGATGTAGTCAGGTAGGCTTCCAGAAAGTGCTCTCGCCAAAACTCGAACCCAGGTCTGGCAGCCTGCAGAGCCTGTCCTGCCACTGGACGAGGTGAGCCATTTCCTCCAGCCAGCACTCCGCCAGGTGCTGTCCGGGGATGCCACAGACTCTCACATGGCTGTGAGGCTTCCTAAATTCTTGTTTTCACTTCGTGTGCTGTTCACAGACCGCCCTGGTCCCTGGAACCAGTTCCCAGGGGAACTGAAAGGGCCCGAGACAACAGAAGGGCCTGGGCAGACACACGGGTGACAGTAGAAGTTCAAAGCCAGGGTTACACACCACGACAGGTGCAGCCCTGACTGGCAGCCTCCGGCACCGCCAGTCAGGCTGGCAGAAGTGTGAGGCCTCCGGCGGAATCCTCGGGAACAGAAACAAGCATGCCTGCCCTCGCTGGTCCTTTTTCCAAATGGGACTGGCTAAATCCTGCCAAGGGCTTCCCGTCAGAGCATCAGCAGAGAGCTGCTCCCATTATTCTCAAGGTGGGCTAAGCAGCTGCTTCCCGTGGCTTGAGGAACTCTCCCTCTGTGCCCAGGCGACGTCATGCCGCCGAGGAGGCTCCTTCCACCTCATGGAAAGTGTGCCAGGAGGCCAGCTCCACATGAGGCCCAAGCAGCCCCCGCGCCTCGGCGCCCTGCCCGCCCGGGAGGCTGTTTGGCCAGAGGACCAACGGGACACTGCCTTTTATCGTGAGGTGCTTTGCTCTTGGCAAAGCTCCCCTGACGTTCTTTTACACAGATGGGCAGGTAGCCAAAAGCCTAGATGACTTTTTCACACTAGGTGATGGATTTCAACCAAAATTCGCATGCTTGAGCATTACGAGACCTCAGAAATAGTTTTTGAAGCAGAGAACTGTCAACTCTGACGAGACGCACTTAGAAGTCACCGGCCACCTTGGTAAGACATCTGTGTGGCCTTTTACTCCACATGTCCTTGGACAAGAGGAGCTATGAACTGCCACCAGCTTCTTGGAGCAAGGGAAGAGTTTTTGAGCCTTTGTCTTGCTCATGGGGAAGCTGTGAGTTTTATCTGTAGTGTCATATGAATCAACCTTCAAGCTCTCAGTGTGGGAGGCTGGTACCAGCCTAGTTCTTCCTGTGTTCCAGCTCTTGTGCATAAATGCTTGACTGTTAATCCTCACGTCAGCCTTCCAGTAACATCCACAGGATCCCGCAGTGAGCAACACAACCCCTTTTTGTGTCCTGGGGATTTTTGTGTAGAAGTTATAATTATCCTTACTAGAAATTACTAATATTGCATGCATGAGTTTTCAAATGAGTAGAGTTTACGTATCAGTAGACTGTTGGGTTTGGTTTTGTTCTTTTTTTTTTCCTCCACACAAAATTAAAAGTTCACTTTCTAAGGAAATTATGCCTATTGTTTGGTACACTGTGAAACCATTATTGGTTGATGACATAGGGATTTATTTGACTCAAATCTGAAGACATTGACTCACTCATTACTAAAGAATTAGATCTGTAAACCCTTCCTTAAGAATTCAAGCAAGATCTTTTCAAATACTAGATTGATGAATACCTTCAAGAAAAAAGTCATATTGGCATTCTTATAAAACAGCGCTTGTGTGAATGGATGGATGAATGATACTAATTATACGACAAAGATGATGTTAAAAGTTTGGGCAGTGACTGGCAGAAGTAATAGCTCAGCTGGATTGTGTAAGATTAAGTCTAAAATTCTAATGCTGATATGCCAACTACATGTTTGTGTCTAGCTCCGATCCCATGATGAAATCTGTGACAAGTTTTCAAGCCCGCATATGCCAAGAAATACCCAAGACAAAAGAGTACTACAGACAAAAACTACGATTTCTAATTGTCTTGCATCTTTGTAGTAAGTGGTCTTTGTTTAGTGGAATAAGAATCAGAAAGAAACAGATGAGCATTCGGATGGGGCTTATGTGCAGCCATCTGGGGCTGGGAAAGGGCAGTGAGAACCAGGACCCCAAGCCAGGCCCTGTCCACAGTCCCCGGCCACGATACTGGCCGTTAAGTCAGTCCTGCTGAGCCCTTGCTGTGTTCCAGGGACTGTTCTGCCTGTAGCGAGTATTAGTGGGATCTTCATAATAACCCAATCAAGGCAATATCCCATTTTACAGATGAGGAATCTAAGGAGATTGTATCCAGTCACACCACTGGCACGGGGCAGGGCTGGGGTTTGAACCCAGACAGTGCATCAGGGAGGAAGCAAGAGCAGTGGAAGGTCCCAGGCTGTGACCCAGAAGCAGGCTTCCTGGAGGTGGTGTGCAGCTGTGGCTACAAAGCCAGAGCACTTTCATCCACTCACAGCAAGTGGGTGGCATGACAGAACCATCTAGCGGTGCATAAAACCAACCACTAAGCAACTGCATCCGCGGGCAGAGCCAAGCACCAAGGTATTAAAGCTAGAAGCTGAAAGTGGGGCAGGTTCCTCTCGAGAACTCAGGGCTGAGAGAGACCTTTGCCACTGACTCACAGGACCCAAGGAAGGAGCACAAGGGACCTGCAGGAGTGCCCGGAGCCACACAGAAGGTACCGAGAGGGCGAGCCAGAGGCAAACCAGGGAGCTGTGTTTCTGGAATCTGAGGAAATCAGGGTACCCCCCTCAGTGACAACGAGGTGGCAGGCAAAGATCCTAGGCATTCGAGCCTGGCTACAGCCTCTGGCCTGGGTTTTACGGGTTTTACACACCCCACTCCCAGCAAGTCCGACAAAACAGTATCCGGCCGCCAACAGGCATATGAAAAAATGTTCAACATCACTCGTAATAAGGGAGATGCAAATTAAAAACACAATGAGATACCACCTCACCCCAGTGAGAATGGCACATCTTCAAACAACTAGCAACAACAATTGTTGGCGAGGATGTG